TTATGAAATTCTATCAGAAGTGTACATAAAATACTATAATTTTATGTACATTTATTACATCTTACTGTGTTATTTGTATTTCCATTCATTTTATTATTAATTTTAATATTTCATTTATGGAAAAATGTCGTAACTGAGATTAATATAAAAATATGATCATATAAATTTCATACTGATACTTGTAGGTACCCTTCTCAGTTAAAATTGAAAAATCAAATTAACTTCTCCACACGTGTTTCGCAAAAGTAAAAGTCTTAACAGTGGAGAACGATGCTTAACTCAAATAATAAAAAAAATGTGCAACCTGATACAAGATGGTCAATTGGTTTCTGGATATTTATAACAGATTTTGCATTTAGCGGTGGGGTCAAAACAATTTTTCACTTTGTGTGCCTAGTAATTTCTAGTTAGCAAGCACTGGATCTGGGCAGCAAGAATAAAACCTCTGGTTTCAACATTTAACCCTGCACTATGTAACCACTGATGGGGACAGGGTTTGCATCTATCAGCTTCTTTGGTAAGAATAGAGTATTAACCACGAAGAGGCTTATCTTTTCATCGTTTCTATATTTGGTACATTGCATTTGCTTTTTCTTTCTGTTTAAGATTTTTTGTCGTTGCAGGTGATGTATTATGGATTATTTGCACTTCTTCACCTACTTGAATTTCCTTTTTGAATTTGTTAGCTTCCTTTATTACTAAATAAGGTTTCTTATTTCTTTCGTGTTCTTTAATACAGATCATCATCCAGTCTTCCGTAGTTTCCAGGTATTCATGTTCTTTAACACAGATCATCATTCTTTTATTATTATTATTATTATTATTATTATTTTATTTCCTTTGATTTCTGATGTGTACACATTTCTTTCCGGGTCCCGCCCAGAGACCTAAAGTTAGAAATAGCATCATGACGTTTTCCACTGAAAAAAAAAATTACATAGACAAAGCCCTTCGTAAGGTGTGAGCTGTACTCGTGAGAACAATTTTTTGTATTTCTTGAAGGCATGGGCTTCCAGGAATCCCTTCAATAAGTCTACTGGAATCTTTTCCAACCAATCCACGGGCTCCAACTACAACAGAGATTATTGATGTTGCCATATGCCACATTTTTGAGATTTCTATTTCAAGGTTCCTATATTTTGATAACTTTTTGAATATCTTCAAAGATACATTGCAGTCTGCAGAGACTGTCATATCAATAAGGAGGCACTCTTTTTGTGTGCGATCTCTAATAACATTGTCTGGGCGGTTAGCATTGATTGTTCTGTCTGTGTGTCTGTGTACAATTTTATGGGACTACACGTCCCATAAAATTGTAACAGGACCTATCACCGTAACTGGGTCTGGGTGGTGTTCATACCACTTCCTTTCAGTTTCTTTCCTGTGGAAGTTACAGATTTTCCAGTGTAGATATTGGCCAACTCTGTCATGCCGGGTTTTATATTCAGTGGGTGCCAATATCGTGCAACCTGAAACAAAAAAATATTAGCTGTTTTTTTTTTTACCTATGGCTAAAACGTTTTTTAACAACATCAAATAAACAATAATGTAATTTTTATTTTCAAATAATGCTGGATATGTTTAGAACCCTCCTCAAAATTATTAACAATTCGAATCACTTATCTTGTTATGGCTTATCTTGCCATCGTTTGGTACATTGTATTTGCTTTCTTTCTTTTTAGATTATTTGCCGCTGAAATATGTGTATTATGGTTTATTTGCAATTTCCCCCACTTGAAACTCCTTTATTATTATTATTATTATTGCTGTTTTGTTGTTGTTGTTAATAATAATAATACTGATTTCTTTATTTTCTGAGAAAGTTAGTCCTTACCAATGGTTTGGTTTGGTTTGTTTTGATTTACGGCATATCAACCTCAATGGGTCATTTAATGCCGACAACATTTTTTTTCTGGTAATATATTTGTTTTATCAATAATCTATTTCCGTTAATTTTTTTCATCAAAAATGTATTGCTGGTAATATTATTTTTTCAAAAACGTATAGCTGGTAATTTTATTTTTTCAAAAACGTATGGCTGGTAATATTTTTTCAAGAACGTATAGCTGGTAATATTATTTTTTCAAAAACGTAATATCAGAGGCCTTGCTGTTGGACGTAGTTTATCGCCTTACCCAGGACGTGGATGTAGTTTATCGTCTTACCCAGGACGTGGATGTAGTTTATCGTCATACCCAGGATACTCCTTACCAATGATTCGCTTTGTCATGATCTCAGATAATTAGTTTACCATTCGGTTTAGATTGCGATGGAAGACGTAAAAAGACATATAAGAGACGCTGTTTATTTTTTAAATTTTTTCGTATTCACCCGCTACAAGGCCTGAATGCCACTCAAGATAGAGGGTTATTAAATGGTTACGTTTTAAGGGCGTATAGGGAGGGAGCAAAAGTTGCATATTATGAACATATGCAGGATAGATATCGGTTGATTCTAAAATTATAGTGATCAGGGACACATTCCCTCGATGTTCCGTACCACATTACAACCTAATTCATTGGTTACTATGCTGAACAAGACTGTGGGATATATATATATATATATATATATATATATATATATATATATATATATATACATATAACACTTAAGACACATCCCCCTCCAGGAATCAATAAAACTGTCAAACTGACCATGGGAATTCAGAGCAGCATGGATCCATCCAGCTCTTATCTCAAATAACAACTTAAAAGAGACTGTTTGACCAACACAAGGAATGTTAAGATTCATGTTAAAAAGATAAAAAAAACAAACAAATGAAAACTACAGACAAAAGTTCATTTTCTCCATCAAGACATTCATTTCTGTAGTTCACTGCTACCAGCAAGCAGAAATATTTCTTCTTCTGAGGATGGCCATTTTGGCCGAAACTAGTCGAGCAATCTAAATGAAATAATATTAAGAAAAAACGAAAGAAAGTTAATCTACAACCCAGTGTGTCTGAAGATTCTAATTTTTTAATATTTTTTTTTTAATTATATATATATATATATATATATATATATATATATATATATATATATATCCTACAGATTTGTTAAGAACAGTTACCAATGAATTAGGTTGCAATATATATATATATATATATATATATATATATGTGTGTGTGTGTGTGTGTGTGTGTGTGAAATGAGAGAAAGAACAGATGGTGTAAAATTCCATTGTTCCTAGCATTTACTGTTAAAAAAGTGCTCAATACAAAGTAGAGCAATATATTATCATTTTTATTATAAATAATTATGATAAAAACATGTTGAAATCGCTACACAAATGCTTTCATGTTTCGATAACATGGTTGTACTTCTTCAGGCGATGGTAAATAACTGGTGATTAAATGATTTTTAAGGAGATTTAAAAACAAAGTGTTGCCTCTTTTCCGAAAGTTAAAGGCGTGGACATAAGCTCAGAATTAAAAATAGACTTGTGGGTATGTCTTGATTAACCAATTAATGTCAGATCTGCGCTAAATAGAAAAGTACGATCAGATGGTGGTGATCGGTGAATTATGCTTTCATGTCATGATAAACCGGAACATAGACAGGCCATCATTCCCATATTTACATATTAGCTTCTTTCTATGGCGTTTAATATCAATTCAAAGCACCTGATTCCTCCTGCCATACTCTCCCCGCCTCCAAGAGCCATATTCAGACCAAAAATGGAATATTACTGCCACGTCTGAGCCGGAGTTGCCCTATCCTCACTTTCCAGCCCGGGAACGAATTCAAAAGCGTTTCGGTGGTATTGTGGGCCATTATTATTTTATTGTTATTATTTTTTAACCCTTCAACTTCTTTCTCATAGACAAAACGGGGCCGAAATTGGCTGGTCAACTTTAATGCTTCAAAAACAAAACTGCTCTCTATTAATCGCCACGGAGATCCTTCCCTGCCCTCCATTAGAATGTCTGACGCTTAACTTCTCGAGAGCAACTCTCTGCGGCTGCTTGGTCTCACGTTGACTACTGACCTGAGATGGAACAAATACATTGAATCAATTGCTTCGTTCACCGCAAGGAAAGTTGGCTCCCTGTGCCGCGCCAGGAAATTTTTCTCCCCGGAATCGATCCTCCAGATCTACAAATCAACAATTCGCCCTTGCATGGAGTATTGCTGCCATATATGGTCTGGAGCCCCTTCTGTTTGCCTAGGGGTTCTTGATAGGCTCCAGAGCCGGATATGCAATATAATTGGCCCTACTCTGGCGTCTCATCTACAGTCACTTTCTCACAGACGCACCGTCGCCTCTCTCTGTCTGTTTTACAAATACTTTCATCGCAATTGCTCCGAGGAGCTGCATTCGCTGGTTCCCAGACTTCATGAGTTCCAGCGCCCTACGAGGCTGGCATCCCGCTCTCACCCCTTCACTGTCGAAATTCCTAAATCTAGCCGTTTCTTCTACGCCAATAGCTTCATGTCTCGCACCTCTCGCCTGTGGAACTCCCTTCCCTATTCCAGTTTCCCTGAGTGCTATAATCTCCATCTATTCAAATGTAATGTCAATCGACATCTTCAGTTGTCTTGATCTATCCACTACCCTTCTCCTCATCCTTTCCTCTATCACTCCTATCTGATCTTGCTCCAAATCTTCTGTAACCCCTTGCGTCCTAGTGGCTTCCCGCCTTGATTGGGGTGAAACGCTTGAAAATAAAAAAAATGTTTTCTATCTTCTAGCTACTTTCTCGCTATTTTTCACAGTAGTTGTTCCAGCGGACTACATTCTTTTCTTTTCAGCCCTTCATAACTACAAGCAACCAGTCTATGAACACTGAGTTGACCTATCCAAAAATATGTTCGTATTACACGCGCTCGAAGAGGAGAGGACGCTGAAATTTTAAACTTTTAAATTAACTTTTTAAAATATGTCCTTGAGCTTTTATAATATATATATATATATATATATATATATATATATATATATATATATATATATATATATATATATATATATTATCAACCTAAAGTTGAAATTAGTACGAGTCATTGCTTTCGACATCGCCAAGAGAGAAAAAACACCGGATTGACGCTTTCGGTATGTTGACGTGTCCTCAGAGTGTCATAGACAGCGAGACGCAGTAGTAAGTGGGTGCTAGATACCATCAGAACAAGGTACGTATTGAGAGAGTAGAGTGCACTAAGGAAGCTCGGGTACTTTGGGCACATTATGCGACGAGGTGGGCTCGATAAGGACATTCTGCTGGGTCCAGCCGAAGTCAAGCGGCGACAGGGACCACCACCAACGTCCTGATTTGATGATATTAAGAGATGGCCTGGAATTACGGCGACTGAGGCTGTTAGGGCAGCATATAATGAATGAAACTAGGGGACTTTGATAGGAAACTCCGTTACTTTGGACATATTATGCGACGAGGCGTCTTTGATAAGGACATTCTGCTGGGGCCCAGTAGAGGGCTAGCTACGTCAGGGATGAACATCTATTTCTTGGTTTGATGATATTAAAAGATGGCCTGGAATGGGGGCGGCTGATATTGTAGCAGAAAGACGTAGGGAAGGGGAGTGGTGACCACAGTAGCGGAAAACGTGCAGAATAGATTCTTCTTCTTCTTCTTCTTCTTCTTTTTCTTCTTCTTCTTCTCCTTCTTCTTCTTCTTCTCCTTCTTCTTCTTCTTATTATTATTACTATTATTATTAGCTAAATGGTTTACTAGTTATCCTGAGAGAGAAACGACAACGGGAAACTGATTTAGAATTCCATATAAGCTTGTTAATATTTCTTTTTACTGTTTTGGCCTGAGGAAACTATTTTACCACTTTTAATTGCACTCGAAATCATACTCGAGATATTTGACGAAATGTCTCGTCAGCTGGACGTCATGATGGCTAAGAGGTAAAGTGTGTAGGCTCAAATACAGAAGCGTCAAATATAAGCAAACAAATAATTCTTGAAATACAGATTCTAGTATTAAACGTGATAAAAGTATGCAGTAAATATTCTTTAAAATAAAATATATAAAATTACTCCACAATGTGTTCATCTGCATAATATGGACCAAAGATTAAAAAGAATTCTAAGAAGAAATATTTATTACAAACCTAGCGTGACATATTAAAATTAACGTGAAACATTAGAAAACAAAATTCTAGATACACACTTAAATTAAATTAAACACATTAGTAACTGACAATCAACATCTGGAAATATATATTGAATACAATGTCAAAGTGACAGAAAAAGTCTCAGATATTTAATGTCAGGGTTTCAGCAATATCGGACAATCTCAATGTGAAGAGACTACATAAAATTGCACTTAAACTCAGTGAAAGGCGAAGTTCACCATTTTGAAATGTGTTCGATGCTGATGTGTCTTCGATGCTTGAAGTGTGTTCGATACATATATAAAGCCCTTTGTAAGTTGTGGGCTGAACTCGTGAGAACAATTTTTTGTATTTCGTTAAGGCATGTGCTTCCAGGCATCCCTTCTATGAGTCAAATGGAATCTTTTCCAACCAATCCGAAAGCTCCAACTACAACAGGGATTGTTGATGTCCCGATGTGCCACATTTTTTTGGATTTCTGTTATTATTATTTATTTATTTAATTATTTATTTATTTATTTATTTATTTATAGCTAAATGGTTTAATAGTTATCCCCATAGAGAAACGACAACGGGAAACCGATTTAGAGTTCCATATGAACTTGTTAATATTTCTTTTTACTGTTTTGGCCTGAGGAAACTAAGTTTCCACTTTTAATTGCACTCGATATCATTTGAGATATTTGACGAAATGTCTCGTCAGTTGGACGTCATGATGGCTGAGAGCTAAAGGGTGTATGTATATATACAGTAGCGTCAAATATATATATATATATATATATATATATATATATATATATATACAGTAGCGTCAAATATATGCGAACAAATAATACTTGAAATACAGATTCTAGATTTAAACGTGATAAAAGTATGCAGTAAATATTCTTTAAAATATGACAAAAATGAGAAACATCTGGAATAATTGGAATATACACATCAGCCTAAAATTGAAATTACTGACCCACTGCTTTCGACATCGCTAGCTACGGATGTGAGTTTGGGCACTGACCCAGAGGGAAAGACACTGGATAGGCGCATTCGAGATGTGGACGCGTCATAGACAGCAAGACGCACTAATAAGTAGGTGCTTGATACCAGCAGAACAAGGTACGTATTGAGACAGCAGACGGCACTAAGGAAGCTTCGTTACTTTGGCCATATGCGACGAGGCGGCTTTGATAAAAATATTCTGCTGGAGTTCAGTGACGGTCACTCGACGTCAGGGACGACCACTCATCTCTTTGATGATATTAAGAGATGGCATGGAATTACGGTGACTGAATTTGTAAGGGCAGCATATCAAAAGAAAACAATAGGACTTTGATAAGTAGCTCAGTAACTTTGAGCATATTATGCGAAGAGGCAGGTTCGATAAGGACATTCTGCTGGACCCTGTGAAGATCAGGGCCGACCACCTATGTCGGGGTTTAATGATATTAAGAGATGACCTGGAATTACGGTGATTAAGGCTGTAAGAGCAGCATATAAAAAGCAAAAAATAGGACTTTGATAGGGAGCTCCGTTACTTTGGGCATATTATGCGAAGAGGCGGATTCGATAAGGACATTCTCCTGGTGCTCAGTGCATATTTATTTGAGAAGGTGGGCGTAACACAGAGCCCTCAGAATGCCATGGACAGCGAGACGAACTAATAAGTGGGTGCTAGATACGATCAGAACAATATACGTATTGAGAGAGCAGATGACACGAAGGAAGCTCTTTTATTTTGGGCATATTATGTGACGTGGAGGCTTCGATAAGGACATTCTGCTGGACCCAGTCAAGGTCAAGCAGCGTCAGAGTGGGCCAACCATACCTTGGTTTGATGATATTAAGAGATAGCCTGGAATGACTTTAGGCTGTAAGGACAGCATATAAAAAGGAATCTATAAGACTTTGATAGGAAGTTCCGTTACTTTGGGCATATTATGCGAAGAGGCGGACATTCTGCTTGACCCAGTGAAGGTCAAGGTCGACCACCTATGTCGTGGTTTAATTATATTAAGAGATGACCTGGAATTACGGTGATTGAGGCTGTAAGAGCAGCATATAAAAAGCAAAAAATAGGACCTCGATAGGGAGCTCCGTTACTTTGGGCATATTATGCGACGAGGCGGATTCGATAAGGACATTCTCCTGGTGCCGAGTGCGTATTTATTTGAGATGTGGGCTTAACACGGAACGCTTAGAATTCCACGGACAGCGAGACGAACTAATAAGATACCACCAGAACAAGAAGCATATTGAGGGAGCATATGACACGAAGGAAGCTCCTTTACTTTGGGCATATTATGCGACGAGCAGGCTTCGATATGGACATTCTGCTGGGCCCAGTGGGGGGGGGGGATAAGCGGCGTCAGTGACGACCACCCATATCTTGGTTTGATGATATTCACAGGTGGCCTGGAATTACGCTAACTGAGGTTGTGAGGACAGAATAAATCAAAAACAGAGGAGTGGTGACCACAGCGATGCAAACTGCGCTGTTTGCGTATATTTCTTAGTTTCTTTTTTTCATTTTTTAAGCACATTCGTCATTAAGTATATTGTGATAATAGAAAATCTGCCAATAAACAGGAAACACAGAGTGTTAATAAATTATCTCTACAATTTGCAAAGTTTATTGAATCCACTAGATTTTATCGTCCTGGGTAAGACGTTAAACTACATCCGCGATCTGGGTAAGACGATAAACTACGTCCAATAGCAAGGCCTCTGATCAGGAGGTTTTCAGAAGCGTGGAACCACCTCTTAATCGCTGGTGTTCCCAAGTCCACCCTAACCGGGGGTGGTAACACCTGTTAGGGTCCCAGCTATGGGCAAATAGTTAACTATTACCAGCAATACTTTTTCGAAAAAAATACTACCAGTAATACAATTTTGAAGGAAAAATATTACCAGAAACAGATTTTTGATAAAACAAAATATTACCAGCAATAAAATATGTTGTCGTCATTAAATAACCCATTGAAGTTGATATGCCGTAAAACAAAATAAACCAAACCAATCTAAACCAAAAGAATACATATTCTATTCAAACGAATCTATGCTAAAAATGTTGTCGGCATTAAATAACCCATTGAGGGTTGATATTCTATTCCGTAAAAACAAAATAAACCAAACCAATTTAAGCCAAAGAATACATATTCTATTCATACAAATGTATCCTAAAATGTTGTCGGCATTAAATAACACATTGAGGTTGATATGCCGTAAAAACAAAATAAACCAAACCAATCTAAACCAAAGAAATACATATTCTATTCATAACCCAATCTATGCTAAAAATGTTGTCGGCATTAAAAAATAAACATTGAGGTTGATTGTAAACAAAATATACCGTAAAACAAAATAAATCAAACTAAACCACTAGATTTTAAGAATTACTAAGATATTTTTTCGCATGTTAAAGAAATATTACATTTTTAATTTATACATACTTTGTTCTTAATTCACTTACATTTGTTTTTTTTCATATAGCCGTTAAAAGTGCCAATTATTAATTACTGAGATTGATAATACCTCAAGAGAAAGGTCAATGTGAGTCCTGGTTCATAGAGACCAAATCAGACACACAGAATTACAGTACAAAGAATTTTATAGAAACGAGAAATATCTTGTAGAAAACTGAAACTGGCATCGCCTATAGGCTGATGCAGCAAAATCCGACACTTGAGAAAAAGAAACCGAAATAGGCAATACAAACAAAAGCTGTATATGCAGAAACCCGACAGTTTATTTAGCAACAGTTAGAGTTACATACGACATTATTTTTCAATGTAACCGCCGCCGGCGACGACGACCATCTCAAGGCGGGCGCGAAATGCGTGACACGCTTTGGCGTCCATGTCCTTGTCCATAGCGGCGAACGCCTCCACGATGGCAGCCTTCAGTGAGTCGACCGTGTTGTCATGGCCTCGATCACGCCCCAGAAGAAATAGTCAAGTGGGTTGCCGTCGGGTGAGGAGGGCGGACACAAGTCCTGTGACCAGTGGTGAGGAACTTTGTTGTGCAACCACGCCTGGATTGTCTTGGCCATTGTGTGCAAGAGTGGAGTCCTGCTGGAAGACATAGGGACGTCCGGCGGCGATCTCGTCTATCCAGGGCTACATCACGCTCCAGGTAGATCTCAGCGGTGACTCTTAGGCCCCTGTGAAAGATAAACGGAGGCATGACGTCCCCCCACTCGCTGGGGATGACGCCAAGGACCATGACAGAGGAGGGAAACTTTGTATGCTTCACGACGGGAACCTCCTCGATGTATTTGCCAATCCACCTGTCGGTGTGCCTGTTGCTCGTCCGGTCCTGGATGAAATTCTTTTCATCAGAGAAGAACCTCATCATCTCGGCGGACCCGTGTTTGAGCTCGTCCAGCAAAGCCGTCGCGTTAACTTTCCTCGACTCCTTGGTGGCATTCGTGATTAGCATGAGACATGCGGTACGAGGAGTAACCAATGTCCTTCCTGATCGTTCGGCAGATCGTCGACTTGTGACAGCCCGTGTCAGCGGCGATCTTGGCGTAGCTCTGGCTTCCTCCATTGGCGATTGTACCTTGACGGCGGCGACGAACACGTAGGTGCTAACGGCCGAAGAACGAACGTTGTGGGCCTTTCATTTAGCAGTAAACTCGACCTTGATCTCACACGCCTTCATTCCTTCAAATGTCCATGACCATAGTCCTCTTGAACCTAAACAAGGCTATCACATCCGCAGGCCTCTTCCCGACGCGAAAAGAAGCTACTACCGCTGCTCTGCGCTTATATTCCGCCCTGGAAAAGGGTAGAGAGAAAAAAACGTTAGTTAGTTGTCAAACTGTCGGGTCTCTGCATATACAACTTTTGTTTTTATTGCCTATTTCGTTTTTTGCTGCATCATCCTGTAGTTGTGTTGCGTGTAACCAATTGAGTCAATGATGAAGTGTTCTGATATGTTTAAATAAAATTCTGTTCGTTTATTTTGTTGTCCAATAAATCCTCTTGATTTTTTTCATATTCATAAGAAATTTTAAAATTGTAAAGATAATTTATGGACACTCTGTATAACCTGCTAGTAATACTGTAGGTGATTTAGCGATTAAAGCACTTTCTATACATTTTCGTCTTGCGAAATTTTCTACTGAAATTAAACAATTAAAAACATGAGATTACAGTTCGACACATTACAGCAAGCAACTTATGCATCGAATGTATTGTTTTGTAAAAGATCGCTTCTGTGTTCATATGATCTTTTATTTAAAATCCTCGAGGTTTCTCCTTTGTATACCTTGTGACAATCATTACAGGAGAATTGAAGGAAAAAATTACTGACAGGACACAGTGAGCTAAATTTCCTTTCAGTCGAAGAAGCTATTGATTCAATATAGTCACTCCTCTTCATATCAGTGGAAAACGTGAGACCAAGAAGGCGTAGTGTGTTGCTCACCTGGGGTCTACCGTCAGCCATACTGATGACAGACAGGAAAAGGTTCTCCGTGGTCAATACTCCATGTTTGGTCTGATCTGACTCTTATAAAGACTCAACATGGAAACGGGTGTTTGGTATTTTCTGGACCAATAAAGGAACCGACTTTTTTTCCCAGAATCTTTTGCTATGGCAAGGATATACGAGGTTCATTTGTGGACGAAAGTTAGATTTAGAATCAGTGGGCGTCCAAGACCTGCTAGCGCATGGTCATACCCTCTTTGAGCGTGTGATTAGAGCCAGCTACACAATGCTAGTGAAAAGTTACCAGGAGGTATTAAATGACACCAGCCGCTCTCTCCTTCCATTGACTCTTGAGAGTTAAGTCAGAGGTCTAAATGAACAGGAAAGGTAGCCATGTCCGAAGTATAATAATAAAAAAATTGACAAGACATCAACGCATAAGAATGCCAAACTTCAAAATGCCATGTTCTATCTTTCTAAGAGGCAGATCAGGCCCAAAATGGAGTATTGCTGGTTTGCCCGATCCTCACTATCCCTCCTCGACAGACCTCAAATACGCTTACGCGGCCTTGTCGGTGATTAATTATTCTCCACTCTGCAACACTTATTCCCCAAACAAAACGTTACTAGCCTCTCACTAATCTATCGCTAATTAATATGACAGATATTCAGACGAGTTACATTTCTTAGTTCCATCAACCCAGTCCTTCATAATTAGAGCCCACTATGCTATGTTCACGATGGCTAACCATTCCCATTCGCGTCGTGTTCCTTTGACAAGTTTCCCTCCTATAGCTTCTTCCTCACTCCTCTTACATTTTGAAATAGACTCCCGAGATGATGCTTTCCTTTCAACGACAATCTTGGTCTCTTCGAGTGTCAACCGATATCTATCCTACAAATTCTCGTAATGTGCCCTTCTTAATCAAACTCCTTTACAAGAATCTCTCCCAGTAACCCTCTAACTTGAGTGGCCCATGAGCCCTGTATTTGAAATCTGCATCAATCTTGATGAATGGTCAAACCCTGAAAGAGTTTTTTTCTCGAACGCTTATTGGTTCTAAAGCTCACACACGACCTTAAACCAACTTAAACTAATTTGAGTGGCTCTTGAGCCACGGATTGGGTGAACTAGCACTATTCACAAAAATGACAATTTCTACCCTTAGATTTGAAATTCATTATTTAGTAGCAAAGGGATACCTATTTCAGAATCATTGGGTTAGTATGTGTTTTTTTTCTTTCATTATTAGTAGCCTGAGGAGTCGTTCGTTTTGGCGATTGAACAAAGAAAAAGAAAATCTTGTAAGCGTCATAACAATTTTTCTGCTGTTCATTAAAAAGTGCGGAAAAAATAATGATAAAATTAAAACGAATAATCATAAAAACACGCAGTTAATGTCTATTTCCTTTCATTTTTGTTTTCTTTCCCGCTTAAAGCGAAAATATAAATCGTGGCGTGAAAAGAAAATAGATTTTTGGCGGGAAAGGCTCGAGGTAGAGTGTAGATTGACAGGGCAAATTACGTTAATGGCTACTTAAGAGATAATGAGTTTTATTAGACTTGATCTTAATGGCCGACATGTTGATAATGATTGCACGGGACTGACCAATCAGAAGCTGGTACTTCGATGCAAATGAGGTAAAATCTTAGGAGAGAAAGAAAGAGATAGATAGATAGATAGATAGTTAGATAGATAGATAGATAGATAGTGAGAGGGAGAAAAAGCGAGAGAGAGAGAGAGAGCGAGAGAAAGACAGAGAGAGAGAAGTACGGATTAGAGAGAAAGATGTAGCAGTCACTCCGCCTCATCAACATTATCATCAGTTTGTTATTACGAAATCAGTTATTTTTATAATGGCGATAGGTAAGTTACACAGTGAAGAAAGATGATATCAGTTTTATGATGGCAAAGATATATTTTGGGAATATGAAATCAAGACGAGAAAAGCAAGAAGGACGTTCGCAGTAGAAATATTAATGACGATAGATAGAAAAGCGTTAATGAGAAAGATAATGCAAATTACACTGAAAAAAAGAAACATTGATTGATTCGTTTTTTCACGGTTTATCAACCCTTTCTAGGTTATTTATAGCCAGACAATATGTCAGAATCCGGGAATTCAAAAACAAGAAATCATAAAGTGGGGGATCAATTCTATATTACAGTCAATATATAAACTTATCCCTCATTTTGTGGCCACTGTAGTTTCTATACCTTTATATTCTAGAGAATTTAAATAAATCTAAAAGACATAGCTGTGTAGCCGATCAGTATTTTATTGATTCGTTTTTTACGGTTTATCAACCCTTTGCAGATTATTTAAAACCAGAAAATATTCCAGAATTCAGAAATTGATAGACAAGAAATCATAATGTGAGGGATCAATTCTATGTTACAGTCAATACATAAACCTATCCCTCACTTTGTGGCCACGCTAGTTTCCATACATTTATATTCCAGAGAATATAAATAAATCTAAAAGACATATCCGTGTAACCAATTCGTATTTTATTGATTGATTTGTTTTTTACGACTTATCAACCCATTATTTAAAGTCAGACAATATGTTCTTAGATTGTAAGAGTTTGTGATAATAATGATTTAGTGATACAAGTATAACTAATTAACCTATAGCTGGGGGAGAAGAAGTGGATTCATACCTTTCCTAATGGTATTTTGCGCGTAAACCCATTGGAACTCGGTTATCTGATTAACAATTCCACCACCCGCCAATATCACAGCACCCATTCTCAAGCGCGCAACCATCCATTTGATCACGTTTATTATTTTCAAACCTGGCATTCTATTGCTCCGCAACCAGCCTGGTCGATGGGGCTGCTTGGGAATACTTATTTGATTACCGAAGTTAAGCAACGCCAGCCTGGTTACCTATTATTTGGGAATACTTCAACTGTTCTCTTCGATTACCGAAGTTAAGGGACGTCAAAGCCTGGTCAGTACCCTAGATACTGCTTGAATACTAGGTCCACTGGTTCTCTTACGATTAAGTTAAGCAACGTCGAGCCTGGTCAGTACCTAGATGGGTGACTGCTTGGGAATACTAGGTACTTTGAGAAACACTGGTTCTCTTACGATTACCGAAGTTAAGCAACGTCGAGCCTGGTCAGTACCTAGATGGGTGACTGCTTGGGAATACTAGGTACTTTGAGAAACACTGGTTCTCTTACGATTACCGAAGTTAAGCAACGTCACTGGTCAGTACCTAGATGGGTGACTGCTTGGGAATACTAGGTCGAGCCTGGTTCTCTTACGATCACCGAAGTTAAGCGACGTCGAGCCTGGTCAGTACCTAGATGGGTGACTGCTTGGGAATGCTAGGTGCTGTGAGAAACACTGGTTCTCTTACGATCACCGAAGTTAAGCAACGTTGAGCCTGGTCAGTACCAAAATGGGTGACCGCTTGAGAATACTAGGTGCTGTGAGAAACACTGGTTCTCTTACGATCACTTAAGTTAAGCAAAGTCGAGCCTGGTCAGTACCTAGATGGATGACCTCTAGGAACGACCAGGTGCTGTAAGCTTGGATGTGCGGGTGGTGTAATGAAATCGGAGTTCCAGTTCTAGCCGGATTCGTTATATTCTCTTGACCTTGGTTAAAGGTATGAATCCACCTTTTCCCCTGCTATGGGTTAATTAGTGAGACTTCTATCAGTAAATGTTTATTATTCCAAAAATGAATTCTTACAATCTAAAAATATTTTCTGGCTTTAAATAACTTGCAAAAAGTCGATAATCCGTAAAAACAAACCAATCAATCAGAAATTCACGCTTATTAAACATTATAAAAATTCCTGGCGAAACGTTTATGAGAACTGATTTAATTTATCCTTAATGGAAGATTTATGTGCTGATGTGATTCTCCGAAAAGAATTTCAAGGTCTGCAGAAAAAAAATAGAAATTTTATGTGAGGGCGAAAGACCATCTCTAAAAACTATGTGGCCTAGCTAGCATACGGATTTCACCTCCTCCTCCTCCTCTGCGTGAAAATCTCACGCCTGACTGTAGACCTATATCTGTAAAATCCCAATGATACGCTAGAGAAGAGAAGGCATTTATAAGGAAGGAAATAAAAAGCCTGTTGAATTAAGATACCACTGAGCCCAGTAAGTCTCCGTGGAGAGCGTAAGTAATGGTAACTGATGTAATGAATATGCATACACCTGGGTCCCCCCCACTCACAGTAATATGATTGGCTGGTGTCAGCCATAAATACAGACTGATGTGGAGGTACATAGACTTCGCCTATTGTCTTCACCTATTGTCTACCACTACGACGAAGACCAGTCCTTTCCAGTTACCTGCTAGATTGTCCAAACTGGTTACAGCAGTCAATAACCACTTTGCTACTTCGAACAAATATATCCCTTTCCGGAACATATCAGTAACTAAGGACGAGAAATAAAAAAAAAAGTTAGTCATAGATTATTCACAAACAATAAAGTGTTTTACCTTAAAAGATGCCTAGATTTATCGACACCAAGATAGCTCAATGTATGGGTTTGGACGTTAGAGCGACCAACTCTACCGTCAGCATGGCTTCGTCTGACTTGTTATTAAAAATTGTAGGAAAAATGTAAAGCGAATCTTACGATGGGTACGGAAACTTACAAAAAAATGAATTCCTCTTTAATGGATAATTTATGTGCTGATGTGATCATCGGACAAGTATTTCAAAGCCCGCAAAATAAATAAATAAATATTTTATATGAAGGCGGCAGACCAGCCCCCAAACTATGTGGACTAGCTTAACATGAACATTTCAACCACTTCTCTGCTGAAAAATTCCGACCGGCAAGAATATTCCATAAATTGCACTTTTTTCCCCCCAAATTCCAATGCTATCTGTAACAATTTCCCCCAGCTGATATCGAAATCTCCCCACCCACTTGACAAATGAGTCACAGTGAGATTCGAACCCAGATCTTTTGATCGAGATGAAAACGTCTGATCAACGTTCCCATATTGTACAACAGTACTTTCTTATAAGTATTCAAAAGCATTTTTATATTTACTTTACAATTCCTTTTTTCATCATTTCACTCCAAGCAAGGCGATAAAGTCACTACGACGCAAGTGGTTGCTGATTGTGAGAGAATATGTGAAAAAGAAGATGTTATTAAGGAGCGAGAACAATAAAAGAAAAAATAATCAAGAATAGAGCAGATAGCGATGGGCATTGCATTTAAATTTTTGAAGATAAAAACTGACTGTAAATCAAGACGCCAGGAGAGAGTTCCACAGGCGAGAAGTGCGAGAAAACAAACTGTTAGCGTAGAACTTATGACTACATCTAGTAATAATTAATAATGTTCTTCTTATATCCTCTCAAACTCAGTAACTCCCTGCGTATTAGTGGCTTTGTTGATTTGCTTGGGTTGAAAGGATTAAACATAAACATTATATACACCTGAAACAGGCTAGCAGGTGTCCCCACACTGTAATGAACTGGATAAGGCTAACGCGTGCGGAATAATCGTTCATGTTTAACGTTACATTTTATTGCACACCCATGCTTTGTCGATTACTCTCGGCCATGGTGTGTGTGAGCGGCCCCGTCAAACCCCGGCCGGATAAGTAGACCTTACATTTTCATCTGTGATGTGTGAGAGACGGCCCTAACGCTTGCAAAACCTTGTACAGCTTTTGGTGGCCGAGAGAAACCTCAAGTCAACCCCGCACCTGGATTCTTTTGATACTCTGGTGCGATATTAAGTGAAAGCTTTATTTTTTATTTTTATTTTTGTAAGTCGGGAGCACCTCTAGCGCGCAAGGGGTTATAGAGAGTGGGAGCAAGAGACGGGATTGAGGAAAGGATAAAGAGAAGAACGGGGAATTAGATCAAGGCATCAGAAGATGTCAACTGATATTACATTTGAATATTTGAAGACTATAGCTGTCAGGGAAGCAAGTAAGCGGAAGGGAGTTTCACAGACAGGAAGTGCGAGACATGAAACTCTTGAAGTAGAAGAA